TGTAAATGTGAACTGGTTGCCAAGCACCCGAAATGCATGAAGAGGGATGGGCAGTCATTAGAACCTTGGAATAGAATTCTAAATACCCCTGGTGAGGTTCATCCTAACTTCAAATCATCATTAAGTGATTGGTTGTAAGTCAAGGACTTCCTGTAGGACAGGGGTGTCAAACGTCATCATATGACATATCGTGTTTTTCCCCCCCTTTGTCAAACTGGGTGTGGCCAGCTTGTGACTCATTCACCTATGGGCTGTGAGTTTGACACCCCTGCTGTAGAAGAAAGTTATATGTATCATTCTTAATTTTCAATGGCTCCTGGTGTGCCTGGGTGGAACGTAAAAGCTACTCTTTTTATATGATTTCAGACAACCTGTACAAATGAAGTTCTAACTTAGTGCCAACCCAGTAATAATTGTTTTTTTTAAAGTTAATTTTAATAAGGAATTTGTAGAGTCTTCAAATGTAACTCTACCTATGGTACTTTCCCAATTCACTTCTGTTCATTCATAGTTGTAGTTGATAAATCAGCCAAAACCAATAAAAGGATTTCAGTTCTCTCTCAGATTATTTTAATCTCAACTATCCAAGTTGGAACTTCAAGCACCTTATGAACTTGATTCTAGTGAAGAAATGTATCCCATTTAGAGGCAGCTGTAGTCAACTTTGCCAACCAGCACACTTAATCCAGGATAAAACCAAGGAATCAATTAAAATCACAGGGGAAAGAAAAAAAAATATTTCGCCAGTATGAGCGGATACATTCCCAAATAGTAATCCAAATTGTAGGTATTATGTTTTCAGTGCAAAACTGGGCTACATTGTGGAAATTGAACCATGTTTCTTCAGAATTTAGACTGTACCCTCTGCAATGGAGCTATATGGAGCTATATAGTCCCTTGTTCCAAATTGTTGGCTTGACAAACTCAAGTAATGTAACTAGGCCCAGTTAAATCAAAATAGCTTTATCCTCAAACATGCCGAACTGGTCATGGTAGACAATGTTGTTGTGATTCTAAGTGCCATAAAATTGGGCCTGGTTAACCAGATTCAGAATGAGTTTTTCTCAGTCTGCATTCAAGCATTTTGCTTCATGACTTAGTTGTACCATTTTCTACTATGAAAATTTGCCTCTTCAAAACCTTGGTGCGTCTTATACTATGAAAAATGTGGTGAGTCATTTATTTGTGCAGAGTGCAATTAATTCCAAACTGAACTTACAAATGGAGAATTAGAAAGTCTTGTGTTATCTTTGACTTAAAACTATATATGAAATTATATACCAAAAGCTGAAGACTTCAAAGCTTAGATGAATAGTTTCCTTTCAGTTCAGAAAACCATGCCTTCCTTTAAAATGTATTGTTTCCTGAATAACAGCAGCCTGCTGTTATTATGTAGTTAATTTCCTAACTTAAGTTTCTCACCTGTTTCTTATCACTGCCACTCTACTGCCCTAAGGGAGTGCTCAGTGGAGACTGAACAAGACTTCAAGAGATAAGACACAACTGATAGAGAATCCAGGCACAATCACATTCTATTCTATGTTTCTGTGGTGCCAGACAATAACGGCTAGAACCAGATTTATGCTTACAATAGACCCAATTAAATTAATTAGACTTGAAATCATTAAAAATATGAAAACACTGAGCAGGATGAGAGATGAAATTCCTCCAAAACATCTAAGTATCAATGTCAGTTTTAATAACACAGGCCATTATAGAAGGCCTCATAGTCTTAACTGCATAAAAATGTAAATACACTGTATTGAAAGCTTCTATGGACATTTCAATTGAGGCACATTTGCTCTGTTCCAGATTTTGAAAGAAAGCTGAAGTACATTTCAAACCCAAAATAGAGAACAATACAACAACATTCACTCTAAAGCAGAGGTGTCAAACTCGATTTCATTGAGGGCCACATCAATGAATCTCGGGGGGGGGGGACATGGCCAGGGGGCACGGCCAGCTTGATATCATTCATATCAGGGTGCCTGTGGTACCCTGAGTGCTCTGCCAGTGAAAACGGGCTGCTGTGCTCTGTTTTCGGCTGGGATGGCTTCCTGCAACCCTTTACCAATGAAACTGGAGCTCTGGCAGGCCATACACGGCCCTCGTGAGCTCCATTTTCAGCTGGGATGACTTCCTGCAACCCTCTGCCAGCAAAAACGGAGCTTGGGGTGGCTGCATGAGGTCCTCCCAAGCTCCATTTTCACTGGCAGAGACATTGCAGGCTGGTCCTTCGCTGTTTCCAGGGCAGCCCGGAGGGCCAGATCTAAGCACCCAGTGGGCCGGATTCAGCCTGCGGGTCTTTTGTGTGACACCCCTGCTCTAAAGCTACCTCAAATGAGTTTTTTTTTAAATGGAGGAAAAGGAAAGGATATAGACCTAGGCATCTGGACCATAGTACATACAATAGATAGAAGTGGGTTAATTCTACCCAATAAAATGCCCCATGTGTATGAGATTTAGCCTTTATCCTTCACATGAAGTGATAATATCAATTAAAATGTCTAATTTTCTACCCTCCCATCTGAATAGGGAGGGTGATGTGGCCAGTTATGGTACTATTAACACTTGACTAAATGGCCAGGTTTGTTAAAAAAAAATGTTAATATGAGCCTAATACTAAAATAATACAGAAGGCCCAACCCAAGTAGTCCTTGACTTATAACCGATCACTTAATAACTATTCAAAGTTACATTTGGATTCTTATGACTTCTAGCCACACATACCCCATGCATCACTGCATTTTGGGTGTTTGGCAACTGGTACACATTTACCACCATTTGCAGCATCCCATGGTCACATGACTGTGATTTATGACATTTTTTTTGCCAGAAAACAGTGTTTGCTTCCAGTTTCTGCCCAAAAAAACCACCCCATAGTGAACAACAGGTTTGTTTAATGGCCACGAAGTTTGCTTAACCACCACACTATTTGTTTTACAATTGCTGCAAAAAAGATCCTAAAATCAGGCGTGGTGACATGGTGACCTACTTTACAACCATCACAGCTTATGACTGAAATTGCAGATTCAATTTCGGTTGACTGCCTATGGGATCGTTCTGTCTTTTTCGAACCAAACAGTTATATGACAGTATGACAAGAGCATTTTTTTTGGAAGGGAATAACATTAATTTGCAGTTGCTGAAGTCACTTCTTACCAAGGTAATTATCATCTTCTGGTTTCCCTGAGTAACTATGCTGCCGTACGTCGATATTTGTAGCACCGGCTGGAATGCGTATCACAGTGTTATAACCTGAGAAGACAAGTCAGAAAGTCAAGCTTATTATTCACGTGCAGCCTTGGTATTTTTAAAAAAAATAATAATAACGACAAAAAGAAAAACCGTGCTATGATTCGGCACCACAGTAACCAAGTTGATGCTTTCATGTTATCATCAAATTAGCAAGAGGCTCAAAAGTATGAAAAAAGCGAAAGCAAAATCTTCCTTATCATAGGACTGGTTTTTTCAAAACATGTCACAGATGGGTTAAGTTTGCTAGCAAACAGCTTTTCTCTTCTTACCATAGTGCACCGTATTGAATGTCCCTGCAATGGTTTTGCATGATGAATTATCGCCACCACACACACCACATTTATCCCTTCTGGCTTTGGAATTGAGCACATGATCACATCCAGCTTGCTTTAGAGAAAGAAAAGTTCAGAATGAAATTGGACAAATATGAAAATAAGAATGTACAGGGTTGCAAATGAAAACCATACTACCAGCAATGGCCTCTGACAGCACATTCATTCTTTATTTTCCCCCATATCCTGTTATGCTATAATAATCATAACCATCCTCCTATTAGGACATGAAAAAGTAAGCATGCTTCAAGGCACGTGAAGTGCAAAACGATCTAGCATGCTGGGAGATAAGTGAGACAGGATAGGCAGGTGAGGTCCTGGAGCTACGGAGAAGATTACGCAAAGTTTATTATGCCTTGTGGAAATGGGTAGCAGTTGTAACAACAACAGATGAGCCTGGGTTATTAAGCACTGGGCTTATGAAGCTTTCAACTAAACTGTGATGCAATTGTGATCCCAACAAAATGACTACAATTGCTCCAATTACCTATATTCACTTGTCCACAATAACGCCAATCTCAACTACGTAGGTCTTCTGCAACTCAAAGAGAGTAAGATTTCTAATAATAATAATTTTCCCGCTTAAAGGATGTGATCTGAGATGCTTAAAACCAGCTTCTCAAGAGCACAACCTATTCTCATTTACAATACAGTAATTCTTGCACCGCATTTTCAGAGTTCTTCACACATTTGGGGAGGGAAATGGCTCCCATTTACAAACTTCTTACAGCGCACGGCAGGACTCTTTTATATCTGTCCCAATTAAATTATATCATTTTATGGGAAACCTGGCACCTAAACAATTCTCGTAAATATGTGTGTGTAAGCCAATCCTGTAAGTCTCTCTAGAAAGAAAAAACAACAACATGGCTGTTTCAATTCTGACACTACAGCTAAACAGAGGAAACAACAGAAAAGCCCAGGATACTTATAAAGTACTTTTTCTTTTTAGCCTCTCCATTGCTTTTCAATCATTTTCAAACAAAAGAGGATTTACGGGGAATAGAGAATAGAGCTGATTTATACTTGAATCAGACAATTAGCCCATTTAGTTCAGTACAATCTGTATTGCATGTGGAACAAGCGGTGCACACACGCAACACTCAGAGGACTCCCGTACAGATCAATATGGGCTTTCTGGTTCCCATCCGTGTTTCCTTGCTGCTGCAGCTGCTGCTTTGTGAAGGACGATGACACACAAGGAATTATCCTGGCATGCTGTCTTCCTGGTTCAATGATGCTCCTAAGTTAGTGGAGGTCTGATGGAAATTTGGAAAATGATATTCTACTCACATCTCGTCTCTTCAAACTTAATTGTCTCTCAATAGCTCACTAACAGGCTCTTTGGATGATAGTCAGGAAAGCAAATGAAATGGGGAAGATGGTGTGGGGAGCAGGGCTCTCCTCAGATCCAATCTTCTCCATTTAAATCTCATGCCAAGACTGGTCCCGAGATAACATAACAACAGGGTTGGAAGGGATCTTGGAGATCTTCTAGTCCAACCCTCTACTCAGGCACCCTCTACTATATACATCTCTTTTTAAAGACCTGCAGGAAAAGACAGGTGTAAAAATAATCTCAGCATGCAGTGAAGGAGATTTCAGTCTCTTAACTCTGCTTCCTGGGATGGGGAAGGAGTTATTTTTGCCTCCATTGCTATTGTTGTGGCCCGCCAGCCGAGCTGACAGCAGAGTCAGACAGTGAGGAGGTTGAGGAGGAACATGGGCCAGTCCTGGAGGATGGGGAAGGCTCAGATGAGGGCTCTGCATCAGAGGCAGAGATGGGGCCGAGGCCGTCTGACAGTGATGAATGCCTACAAAGCTAGACAGCAGTGAGGCAGAGGAACACCTGGAGCCTTTCCTAGTGTGCGCATGTGCAGAGCTGCCAGAAGAAAAGAACAACTCAGAAATCAGGGTAGACTTGGGAGTAAAGTCACAGGTGGAAGGTGATTGGCCCCTCCCATGGGAAATAAAAGAGGAGTGAAAGGGGAGTGGGCTTTTGCAGGAAACAATTTGTTCATTTGTCATTAGATTAGTTTCAGGAGTGTGAAGATCTGTCCGTGAATCTTAGAGACTCTATGCCCAGTCTTTCCTTGCACAGTACCTCGTTTGGAAAACATTTACATGGCAGCTTTCCAAGATAGATAAGGTCTGTGTTCATAAATATTCCTTTTTAAAATAATTTTTTATTTTTGAATAAACACAAACAGACAAAACACAACAAACACCACAAAAATATCTT